AAAATCGTCACTGACCCTCTTTACTTCGTTCCTGTATACAGTGGCTATTTCATCTAGATACCGATAAAAGATCACAGTAGTCTGATGTGTTACTCGGAAACCTTGTCGCTACGACAAAGACAAACAGTTGACCACCTTATTAATTCCGTTCAAGTCCGTGGATCGCGATGCAAAGTTCGTGGCATTTTTGCGGCAATCGGTGCTCGAGACGACTACCAATGTCTATATCACCTGTATTAACTGCAGCCGCCTGATCGTCGAGTGACTCAAGCGGGTGCAAGTAAATCTTCCATTTTTCCCTGTCGCGTGGAAGAGCAGACCAGTACGTTCTGCTCGTTCTAGGGACTCGTCGAGCACCATATCTTTCTCCTAGGCTCTTCGTGAAGAACTCTGACTATCGGGTCGGTAGTCTTCCTGCAGTACGTTTGACATCGCGAGGAATCCAGTCACTAACGGCTCTTGTCCATCGGTTGTCATTCATACCCATTACGTGTCCGGCCCATCTTATCTTTGACGGTTTGGCGTACAGAACGGCATTTTTGACTTTTGATTGACGACGCAGGTCCGAGCTTCGGATCCCTTCCCTTTCTTGTGTGAAATGTATACTCCTAGCATCGTCCTTTCTACTGCGCATTCGATAACGCTGAGTGATCTTTCATCCTGCTTACGCAACGACCAGGTTTCTGACGCATACGTTAGGGCAGGAAGTGCCGTTGAGTCGAAAAGGTGGGCGTGGAGTTGGGTGTTCTTTGTTCTCTTCACCACATCCTCGATGCTCTTGAAAGCTCCCCAAGCCATTCACTTCCTTCGGCTCAGCTCTGGAGCTAAGTCGTTCATCATATTGATTTCCCGACCTAGATAGACTTAACTGGAGCATTCGGAGATATTCGTTCAGATGAGCGTTAATGGGGCATACAAAACCAATCCGTTCCTCATGAACATGGTTTTTGTGAGATTTGGTCGAAGACCAATCTTTCCACAGACTTTATAAAAGTCGGCAAGCATACGTTCCGCTTGGCTAATGTTTGGTGTTATAGAAACGATGTCATCAGCAAAGCGAAGATGGTGTAACTGCCAACCATCGATTTTCACTCCCACATTATCCCATTCCAATGTTCGCATGACATTCTGAAGGGTGGCGGTAAATAATTTTGGAGAGATGGTATCGCCTTGCCTAGCTCCTCTTTTGACGTCAGTGTTAATATCGTTGTAGAATGGTGATATATTGTTTGTGAAACTTTTGTACAGCTCACGAAGAATCTTTATGTACCGAGTAGAGATTCCTTGACTATTAAGGGCTTCCATGACTGCTTCTATCTCAGTTGAGTGAAAGGCCTTCATTAAATCAGTGAAATTGAGACAGCACGGTGTTTTGCACTCTCGCCATACTTCAGTCAGTCTTGTTATCGTGTGGATGTTGTCCATTGTACTAAATCCTTTTAGAAACCCTGCTTGCTCACGTGACTGCCCTTTGTCCAGTGTTCTGCCAACCCTGTTTAGGTTGACTCGAGTGAAAAGTTTGTAGACGGCAGACTGCAAGTAGATTGGGCGATAGTTGCCGATATCGTGTAGGTTACCTTTCTTGAACAATAAAACGGTCATGCTGGTCTTCGACTGAGTATGGACCTTGCATTCAGAGAGGTAACGTGCGAAAGACCGAGCCAGTGTGTTTACGAGAACTAGTGGAGAGTTCTTCAGGTCTTCTGCTCTTATCCTGTCCGGACCTGGTGCTGTTCGATTTTTCACCGACGAAATGGCATGTCGGATTTCGGAAGGGGGGACATGTTGTACAACATATCCATCCTCCTTTATTTCATATGATGGAACGTTGACGTGGCTATCGAAGAGATCCGAGTAGTATTCGTGAATGATTTTCTCCATTGCCTTTCTGAACGCTGTAACTTTTCGTTTGGGCTTCAGATGGAAATCATCTTGATCTTAAAATTGGCGAAGCTTCAGTGGGCTTTACGAATGCTTTTCTCACCCTCTGCAGCTTCGACCGTTACTGCTGTTCTTCTCTCTTTAAGATCTTCTTTCATTGCCTGTCTGCATCGTTTTGCAAGTTCGGACGGTAGATCGCGGTTGCCTGCAGCTCGTGCGATTCCACATTCCACTGGCGTATCAGCTCGAATGTTTCTGGAGACAAACGTTTCTTGGTGACTTTCGAACTCTCAGCTTTCATAGCGCTGATGTGAAGATGTTGAATGAGCCGATTGTATTCCTCGTCGATGTTCTCGACAACGGCATCTTCCCAACATCAGACTAATGAATTGAATAAGTCCCAGTTTACGGTGGTTCTGGGACTTCGGTTTTGGAATTTGGCGGCTTTTTCTCCTTTCCGCGAGAAATAGAATCTTGCACGAAGGAGACGATGGTCTGATCCCATGTAGAATTTTGGTACAACAGCGACATCGGTTAGGCAAAACCTTCTATTTACTATGATGTGGTCTATTTCGTTATGGTATTCTCCATTGGAAGATTCCCACGTCCAGCGTTGAGGGTGGGCCGACTTCTGGAATTGCAAGTTACCATGGATGGTCTTGATCGTTATGATAAACTCAGAGAGCCGCTCACCCTGTTTGTTCCATTCTAGCCTGTGGGTCCCAATCTGACGTTCTTGGTCTAATTTTGACATTAAAGTCTTCAATGATAACCTTGAAGAATGTATGGTCTTCTCTGTAAAACTTCTCCAAGTTCATATAGAACGCTTCGACTCCTTCTTCGTCGTAGTTTGATGTCGGCGCGTAAACGACGAATATTGTCAAAGCCGGTATTGATCCGCATCTTTTTTATGGTAAACGTCTGATTCGGTTTGTTAAATGTTCGGATGAATCGATGTTCATGGACAAACTCATGATAACGACACACCCGACTCCTCTACTGTCGCATGTTCCGAGGAACAGTTCATCTCTGGTGTCATAGACGGCGTTGAAAAACTGGCGTCTTCTCGTTATCGGCCAGACCGATGACGTCGTACCTTATAGTTCTTGCTTGCATGAGCAAATCTTCCATCGAGGACTCGGATACAAGTGTACGTGCATTATAGGTACGGATTGTCACCATAGTTCGTTGTATTCCAGCTTCCATTGGCCCTGAGATTTTATCAGCCTCTTCGTACTCGACCTACCCAACGCTGCAAAATTGGCGGCTTTTTCGGGGACAGGGGAATCAGGCCCGTCTTTTTAGTGTGCTTAGCATCTTGATACCGAAGTATAGCTTGCTGGGCTCTGAACGTGGGGGCTGGCTATACTCACGGGTAACTTGCTAGGCTCTCCCAGAGTTTACATGTAGCTTATTTGTTGGAGGCGACTCCTAACCGCCTCCCATATGCTTCCTTGTCACTTGATTGAAGGCTTGCGGCCGAATTGACTCGTAGAATACAATCCGCATAAGCAAGAACGCACCCACACACGCATGCATGACTACGCCTAGCAAATACAGAAAGTATGTGCCAAATCAGCGCAGCAGAAACAGGTAGTCCATCTCCTGGATCCACCTGCGTCTCATGGAAGCGAAGATCGCTTTTGGTCCGCGATTGACCACTATCCGCCACCTGAGGACGCGTCACGTAGCCTTGCGACTAACCAGCTCGAGGCTCACCTCGTATGAGGGAGATCCGTAGATCAATATCCATAAGGGTTATTTAAAGCCGAAACAATGGCAGCTTCAAACTTTAAACAAACACATCTTAGCTCGTAGTGGATTCCACTAATTTCGATAAGAAATATTAGAACCTTCATATCTTTGCCTACGGGATAAAAGTCCTGTTCTTCTACTATGACAAAGTTCTGATTATCTGCATCTCATAAAGTATATCTCTCAATGGTTTACCGCCCCACCTTGGCTGGAAGGTGTTTCTGGGTGTCGGGTTGTGATGTACAGCGGGTGGATTCATCCCAGAGGAAGGGTATCCCAAGCTGAGAAGGAGTCCGGCATTTCCATCAGGAAGCCTAATCAAGAGTAAACCAATACCATAATCGACCACCGTCCTGGTATAAAACTACTCGCATGGTAGCATCCACAGGAGGGTGACTGCCTGTGGTGGTGGCGAGCTGTGGCAGACTTTGACCTGGCTGACCTCGGGATTCCAGGGAACCACAAGAGATAAACCAGCAAAATTCCGAAAAAGTGGAGATTATGCTGGCTCCCGCATAACCAGTGAAGACGCGTCATCCAAATGTCCAAGCAATATCCATAACGTATACTCCTTCCTCTCTATTACTTCAAGACCCATATTTGTGATACGAAAGCAAATCGAGAGGCGCGATTTCACTTAGCATGAACTGATATTGTTCCCAATGTACTGTTTATGTTTGTAGCGGCGTCTCTTTTATTGGAGATGGTAGGAGCAAATTTTGTTACAAACTTCTTGGGGAGTTACAATTCTAAGCTAATTTAAATTTGAAAGCAGACCATAGAATAACTATATCCGTGGTTGATACAATAAATTAATGTCTCTTCTACAAATCTATTACACTCTTAACTCCTGGAACACTCAGCTACCATAGAAAAGACTGCCGCTCTTGCGAAAAATTAGCTACGCCGCGAGACTGTTAAAGGTGCGACCAGAGTGGGTCCTGAAACGATTGCGAATGGGACGAAGTGGACATTCGAGAAGTGCGGACTCGTCAACGAGCACCCGAGCACCCGCGCGAGTTACATGTTTTCCCGTTTGAGTATCGATATGGTTTGGATGCCGTTTTAGTGAAATCTCCTGCATGTGTGTTTTTCGTCACCTGGCCCAAGTCTCCGTTACCGCAAATGGTCTCGAAAGGTGTGCATGCTGTAGTTTTCGGTGTCATCTAGTTCCACGTTCTAGTATCTACTGACCTATGCAGTTTTGGGATGTGCATCTTTTATTTTGCTTTTTTCTACAGCGTTTTCTTATTTTTTCTTCACGGCTTTGTTGTCATTTGTAATTTAATTCGGTCCGCATATGCGTTTTTAATGGCTTCACTCCATATTCCGTTCTAAAGGCACTTTCGCTGTTAACCGATACCATGGCATCGGTGGCACAGTTGATGTTCGATGAATTCGGGCAACCGTTCATTGTCATGCGTGATCAGGAAAAGCAGAAGCGTCTCACTGGTTTGGAGGCTGTCAAGGTTTGTGGTTGTTTGTAGTGGTTTTCTATTACTATATATTTCTGTCTGTTCTTTTCAGAGTCACATACTTGCCGCACGGGCTGTTGCAAATACACTTCGTACGTCTTTTGGACCTCGTGGTCTCGATAAAATGCTGGTTAGTGCTGTGGTCCTTAGTTTGTGGGTGGCTGTGCTTTTTATACTTGCCGTAATTTTTCTGGGAAATTCTAGTGTACTGTATCGGTTAATTTGTAGTTGTTATTATTTACATTCGAATATAGGGTTTCGAATCATTTTCCTGTTGGAGCTATGCACCACCATGTCTTCAATATTAGGTATTTTCGTGCAGTTTGCTGATAAACACGATTTCAAACTATTTTGGTATTTCCATACATATGTTCTTACGAGCCGCCCTTGTTTAGTTCACGTGAGGTGGCTATAGATCTTCTTATTGCTATTGCTGTCGTTGTTCATTGGCTGATGTTTCGGCGGCTTCGGCTTCCTCAGATCTTAGACGTATCATGTGTAACAGTTTCCTCACAACTCGATAGTCGACTTCAGTGATTTGGGTGTTTTAAATCACTATATAAATCGGAAGATCTATACCAAGCTTGCGTCAGCTAAACCAAGGCAGTTCGTAAGTATATATATATATATATATACATATATATATTTCGATTACTATTCCAGAGTTTATAGAAAATTGATCCTTTGTTTTGCTGTATTTAATACTGTTCCACCATTTGTCCTGTGTTGAACATGTTACGAACTCAATTTTGGATAACAGTCGTTTTCGTAGTGGTTATATTATCCGTTTCTTCTCTGACAAATCTGCAAGTGTGCTTCGATGAGTGTTTGAATAATGCTATATCATGATGGAATTTAGGTTTCCTCTGATGGCGAGGTCACCATCACCAATGATGGTGCAACAATTATGGAGAAGATGGACATACAACATCATGTAGCGAAATTAATGGTTGAACTTAGCAAGTCGCAAGACGCTGAAATCGGAGACGGAACAACAGGAGTCGTTGGTTGGTGTTTTATGCCGTATACATATATTTATATTTACATGTGTACATTATTACATATGCATATGTACACATATGCACATATATATACATACATACAAAATTTTTACAAAATGTACAAGTACCACGCCCACACATGTATATGTGTATACGTGTGCGGATTACACGTTACATGTACATACGTATATATGTATATATACATATATATATGCATATATATGTGTTCGGGCATTATGTAATCCAAATAGGTGCTCAATATTTAAAAATATTGAAAGCGATGCAGAAGACTGCTGATGTGCTAGTTTTGTCGCTTGTATTACTTGAGATCAATTTTGCTTAGCGTTTATGCTCTTTCCTTCACAATAGAACGCTGGGTATCGTGGCCTAACGGCTCGAGATACCACATGGCGACATCCGTCTTAAAATAAAAAGATGAAACTCTCATCGTTGATCAATCCCTAAGGGATGCGCCATGCATTCTGCTTCATTAAGCATCGTTTGGAAGTGATCTAATGCATATCTGGCTTTCACAATGACTCGCGGTGGCCTAGCGATGTATCGGCCCGGTGCCGCTATCTTCCCAGATAATCCTGGTACCAATTTGTCGACCCCGAAGGCTTGGTGGTCCATGGGCGTGGAGATCGATTCCACTTGTATTTTGGGGACACCCGACAACTGCGCCACACGCATCGCTTAAATCCGTCTTATGTCTTGTATATGTATATATATATATGTACATGTATATATTTACATATATGTATATGTATGTACACACGTATGTATGTATATATATGCGGGGTAATAATTTTATGATACATGGATTGCTGCTACTTTTCAATTCTGAAAGTTAGCAAAAGAATAGCTTCCTTAAAGTTACACTTGGCAGGAGGTGGAGGCCCCAGTGTTGCAGCTTTTCGATGAAAATAGAAATTTCATTTGTGCAACATGCACTTGTCTTTTGTTCTTCGCTGAGAATTACTCTCGTCTTTTTATTTTGCTGTCTGAATTATTTTGCGCGCTTAATGGAGTTTGCTTCTGGCACCGTCTTTTATCTCCCAATAATCTTTATTCTCATGGTTTGTATTTTTTCAAAGTTTAATTGTTATGCCGCATTTTGTGAGAAATGTTAAAATTGTGTTACGATCAAGCTTCATAGCTCGAGATCTTCAATGAATGCTTTCGAAATCCTTTGAAACTATGCTCAGGAAAGCAGTTTTTGTGATGAATTTCAGGTTTTCATGGGTCTTGTTGGGTTTTCTGCTCTCATTCGTAGCTTAATAAGGAAATGGAAATTGTGTTCAACAGAAATACTGTGGATATAGTATTTCTTTAATAAAAAAAAACCCATCATTCTACTTTGCGTGTTTTACTTCTTGCATGAAATGTAAGTGTTCAATTGCTTTTTACAGAAAGTTTCGCCAGACAAAGCTTGCGTATTCTCCATCTCATAAGGTTTTTTGGTCCTAATTCTTCCGATACTTCCGTCAAAAGAAAAAACAGTACTGATCCATCCATGATCGCGAATTTTTGGGATTGATATTTTGCAAAATTTGTCCTTTGTTTCATTAGCGCTCTTCCATAATTCATTCATCGAATTTCCCCCGGTATACGTAGGAGGATTGTGAAGTACGTGAAATTGTGAAAGTGAAAGAAAAAACCTGTTTCATAATGTTTCATGAAGTGAAACTTTCAGTCCGGGTAGAAGACTGGTTTGTTAACTTGGTTTTTTCTATCACGTTGGCCGCATCGGGTCATGTTCCAGAAATTTAAGAAACTACACTTAAATAAAGGTATTTGTGGAACCATTGAATTGGAAATGTAGCCAACATCGTAATCGTACATCGCCTATTGCTGGGCTTCTCTTCTGTACAGTGTAGATCTGTGTATCATATATTTATACCGAACAGTTGTGATTCAATGGCTACGTTTGTGTTTGTTTATCATGAATGTTTTATGTTCTATTTGAACAAAAAACATCGATATAAGGGCGACCAGTGTTGAAATTTCCTAGTACAAGGTACTAATAGTTGAGTAGAAAGGTCTTGGTGTGAGCAGCATATAGTGGTTTGGCAGAACTGATGAAGTTTATTTCAGTAGAGATGACGGTGTTTTGTTTATTTTAGCAAGCACTAGATAAGTTTCAGCCATGTATCGTCATAAATGGTTTGTCGGAATGTTTTGTTTGCTGCAGTACTCTTCTATTGTCTTTCTCTTAGCGGTGTTAACAGTTATTCATCCCTAATGATGGTCGGCTGTTGAATGCGGCGCACTTTTTTGCTTTGCAGCAAAGTGATACTTTGAATTGTTTTACCTTCAGTGAGCAAGAAATAGCTGGAGTATACACCATGCTATTTTATATCCCCAATTTTTATTCACTCTCTACTATTCTCTTTTAATGACAGGGTATTATATGAAGTATAACCATAATGATGCTGAGATATTTGCAAAACTCTACACCACTGGTGCTTGCGGTGGGGACGAACGCGCTATTACCCTTTCCCCCTTAAAGGGTAATTGCGTATTCGGTCCACACTGTAGGTACCAGCGGTCCGGAGTTTTGCAAATATCTCAGCATTATTGTGGCTATATTTTATGTCCAGTGGTTTACTGTTACCTAAAATTATTGTACTGTTAAAGGATGTTCTCCTTGTCGGATTGTAATCTGCTATCAATACCACTTAGCTGTAAGAGTTGTCTTTCTGAGATTGCTATTAGGTAAATCGGAAATGAATGTTAGATTTGCTGCTTCCTTTTTTCGTACATATGTTGAAAACTGTTGTGCCATTCTTCTTTCTTTTTTTAAATACCGTACCATTGTGTATCATTTCAAAGTTCGTTTTATTCACTTTCGCTCTGTATGATTGCAGTACAAATTATCTTTTTGACAAATTTCATAAGTTAGAAGTTGAGATGTCGAAACAGCGAATTCGAATTCGACAAACAACCTCTACGATTAAAAAAAGACGTAGGCAGCGCAGACGGTCCGAAATATTAATGAGGCTTGGGCGAAGGAAGTGTTAGCAACAGACAATGCAGTGTTGGCTTCAAAAATTTGGTCATGGCGAATTTAACATTGGTGATGAGGGAGGTCACCGACGACGACAACCATGTATCGAAGGCTTCGGTGGGATAAAAAACAGGCACAATTGCTTGGAAAGTTGCAAAAGAAGTCGATGTGACCGTTTAAACTCTTTTGGGGCATCTGAAGAAGATCCAAAAGTCGAGAAAGCTCGGTAAGTAGATGTCGTATGGATCGACAGCACGTAACACTATCAACGCTGCAAAGGTTGGTCTAGCGGAGCTACGAGGCTCCGCCTCATCCCAGATAATCGGAAAACCATGCATACATGCATCGAACACCACTTTTCAAGCATTCCTATGTTGTTCTATACGGAAAATCCTTCGAAAACCAAGTCGAATGAGAACCTGCCTTCCACGGCTTCACTGATCTAAGGATTCAGCATTTTATTGGACCGCTATGAGGAAACATGTTTCTCATCGGCGAACATGTGTGAATTCTAATGGTTTCCAATGTGATTAATGAAGTTCATTGTGTGCTTTGAGATGCCACTTTAAAAATAGGTTGAAGTATGCGACTAATTATTAATTCCCTGCCAACATAGTAGTTTGCGTTCTGTTTGCGCATCGATCGAGCTGCAATTCCTTGTTGAAAAATTGCTTTGTTAATAGGCATTCTTGGGCCTTGTACCTTCCAAAGAACAAATTGCACTTAAGGTTTCCTAGAGCCATCTGTCTCGTTTTTTTCACATCTCTAGTTCTGTTTCGTTCATAGTGGGCTTGTGGGACTAAAATTTGCCTTCCACCATTGTGGCTCGTCTTCACTGGTTTTCACTGTGCTGTTCTGTTCCTTCTATATAGCGCTTCGGAATACTAAGCATACGGCCAATTAAGGGCAATTAAGGGGTGTTTCCGTTTCTGTTAAATTAGCATCTTATAATGTCTATGAAGTGAGCGTTTTACATTTCCTTTTTTTCTGTACTGCAGGATTGCAACATGTTTCTCGACGAATGAGAAATTGATGCGGAGTTGTCACGTGAACTGTCTTCAAGTAGTCATGTCGTGTCGATTGTGTGCATTCCTCGTCGTGTTCGTCACTGATAAGCGGTTTCTGCTCATCCGTCACGAATAGGTTGTTCGTGTTCGCCGACGTGAGACATCTCGTCACAGTTTACTTAACCACTGGTGCGCTGTCTTACGATGCGGATTCGGTTCGCCGTTGTTGTTTTCATTTACGGCACAGCCCCGGTGCATGCATTTTTGCTCACGGCCCGCTTTGTATCGATTGCTGCTGTCGAGGGGGCTAGTCTATGTTGCCTCAGCACATTGTTCTCTATGTTTTTGCCTGGTGTTTGTCATAGACAAGCTGATTCCATTTCTGATTTTTTAATTCATTTTCTAACTGTCGTCAATTTTAATCTGGCAAGCGTAGCCATTGATTTCTATGTTTTTGAATTCAATTAGTCCTTTTGTAGACTAGTTGCTCTTCGATGTAACTTGTCTTAAAGTAGAACCACATAAGGAGAATCAGAATAGGCATAGCAGCATGGCATAATGATATCTCTAGAGCTTGTATTCAATCAAAGCATTGGTTTAGCCATAGTTGATATGGTGACATCAACGTGCTTAGGTAGCTCTGCTCATATTAACGTACTTGCGGAATATTGGATGATTAGGAAACTGATTTTGACTAATGTTTCTTTTTTAACAGCATTTCTTGTGCAAGCAGGTGCATTTGATTGGCGCGAGTCATTTATCATTAAATCGTTTGTAGAGAGAAACCTGATGTAAGGTGTTTGACTCATATCACTTAGTTGCTCATGTATATCATAATTCTCTATTATCGATCTGTCAAAACTGCGAATTCTAACACGTAATTAGCAAACTGTGTCCACTCATTGAGCGGCCCACATTGCAGGTCTTGTACATGGTTTTGTACTATGAATTATGATCCTATCTACTAAAGTTCTTGGGCTTATGCTTGTGATCCTCGTGGACCTTTCTGAAGAAAATACTAGATTCTGGTACTGCCGACTTGCGTTCTCAGCTGTGTTTCACCTTTCCTCTTTTTCTAGTGATCAGGTTCTTCCTGTTACCACCTATTACGTGATTTCTGTCATGATAAGCCTCTAATTTTAATTTGACCGTTCGATCGTTGTCTGTCTTTACACAGATACATAACTTGGTCTCGAAAATGTGATAGAGTTTGAAGGTAGTTTCT